TTATTACATAAACTTTTTTTCACTTGTAAAGAAATATTTATTTCTAAAAAAAATGTGTCTAAACCATTGGAGCAGACTTTGGGGGGGGGGGAGAGAGGATGGCGGAGAGGAGAGCAAGGACGATCGATAATATCCAGTTGTGATCATTTAAATTTCGTAAACATAGATTTGTATTGTTTTAATATCAATTAGGGAGTAATAAATAAATGTTTTCATATCAATTTCATTTCCTATTTTAAGAAATGGGTACACCAAAATATTACACTATTTAAAAAAAATGATAAAATTTGCGAAACATTATGTTGAGTTGGAAAATAATTAAATCCAAAAACTAGTATGAACTTTTCAAGGTTCGCTAAGCATATTCTTAATGGTTTGTAATGTTAAATTCCCAGAGTAAAATGGGTTTACTTTTTACTTTCTTAAAAGGCTATGAACAACAGTATTAATTTATTTTTTTATATTAAGTAAGAATAGAGAGCTTCGACTTTTTCTTCTGCAATGGCTTGAACTTTTTATAAATAATCCATGTAATATAGAAGTTTTAGGGAACACCCTTTCAGGAAAAAAACTTTGAAGAGTAAAATTTTAATTTATTTAAAAATAAAATAAATGGAGGGCGTTGAGACAAAAACCAGATAAATCCAAATATTCCAAAGAAATGTTTAAAATATAGTTGTTCTGTTTGAATCCAGCAAATGTAGACCGCCAATGTAAGATCTATCCTGTGTTTATGAAAATATGTTATGAGTGGATATAAATACAATCTATTTATCTTGTTTATGACACCAATGTTAAAGATTTGTCCTGGACTTGCTATTTTATTCAATGCCTAATCGTAGAGTAACATGCGATCTTTTTTTGGTTTCACCTATATTTTGTGAATTTGAAGTAGCATCAAGGGCTTCGATTATTGCCAAGTCATATTCTAAAATATATCCAATAACTACAAAATTGTAAATAAAATTAAATGCATTTATTATCTCTACGTGTCTATTTATCCTAAGCAGACATCGTTTAAATGAATTGTAAGAAATCGTTATACATATACTTAAATATATATGACGTGATGTTAAACAAAAATGTGGCTGTTTGCATGAGAAATAAAGTAAAGAGTGCCTTTTAAATTTAAATATCTCTACATTTTTTTTTCTTTTAAATATTAATGTTTTTACGTGGGTTATCGCTCAATGGAACAATACATGTCCCTTTCATTTCTAATTGGCAACGTTGTTTTTTTTTGTATCTTTAATAAAGATAAACAAGTTTTTCTTTGTTCAAATCATGGAATTTCTATTTAATTTATTATTTTTTCATCATTTTTTTAACTGTCTTGGGAATGTTAATTCAAAACTTTAGGAATATTCTTGAATAAGAGATTTCAGATGTAATTATACTGTTAAAATGTGTAAATTTAATTAATTCTTCATTTATTTTTTTATTTGATTTGGGTCATTCCATTTTAAATTAATAGCCAAAACTGAAATATTTTTCTCCCTGAAGGAAAATGAACTAGTGGCACAGAATTTAATTATCGATAAAATACAAATTTTCTCAATATCAAAGGATAGTAAATTCAAATCATCCATGCAGCAATTTTATACTGTGTGAAACTAATACAATAGATATATTTCATAAACGATCTTAAATTAAATACTTAAATATAGTCCAAAATGATGAAGAAATATTTTAATTATAATTCATATTCATCCGATTCATTTGATTAATTTTATATTATCTGGTATAAAATATAAAAATATTATCTGATACGAAATTAATTAATGTACTATATATTACTGTTTATGTTTGTTTATTGTATGGATATGGAGACAGTCATACCAATAAAATGTGAGCATTAATTAGGTATGACAATCGTTCACAAGGATCCTCTCAACGTCCTTCGATTAATTGAGTATCTAGATTTATAAAGAATCAGCTCGAAATTAAGTCTGAGAGACAATCTAAAATAAACTTGAAACCAATATAAACATGATCATTCATGAGCGTACCAAATAGCAATTATTAATGTAAAAAATAATCAAATTGTTAAAATGTATTGCGACTAGAAATTAAATTTATATTTAAGTATTGATAATATTTTTTTGATTACTCAGGGTATTACTAATATTTAATATTTATTAGAATTGGGACTTTAATTATTAAAAAAAATATTATCAATGTAAATTATAAAAATATTATGAAATATCCAAATAATGGACAAATTTCTTCGAGGAGCCTCGTTGGTATTGAGTGGGCATTCATCTTGGCCACATGCTCAGCACATCTGAGCCGACCAATACTGATAAAGCGCACTACGTTGCATTCCTCGTACAGCTCAGATATATCGGCATTTGTTCTTTTCTAGCTCATGGGCATCAAAATTCTGCAATGATTCTTTTTTGGATTTCCTGGATGTGTCGTTATCCTGAGTTATTAAGGAGCCAACGTATATATCCTCGACTCTCTCAAATGAACATCCGTTTAATAGTACATGAGAAGGGAGCACCCCTTGTGGGTTCGTCACCATATATTTTTTTTTCTACCGTGGCTTTAAAATTTTTTCCAATGATATCAATTTCATCTGCATAGCCCAGTATTTGGGCTGAACAGGTAAGAATTGTTCTTCCCACTTGAATGTCTGATTCTCATGCAACGCCCTCCAAGGCAAAATTAAAGAGGAGGCACGCAAGAATGTCACTCTGCCTCGAAAAGTCTGGAACGATTCCGAGAGCTCTCGGTCAACACGCACTGAGCACCACATCGCTTCCATTGTCTTTCTGATGAGTCTCATAAGCTTGGGTGGAACTTCCATATCGAGCATAGTTTTGTAGAGCTCGTCCCTTATAACACTATCGTAGGCATCCCGCAAATCTATAAATAGATGATGGATTTGTATATAATATTCTCGGGGTCGTTCGAGGAGCCTGAGGATCAAAATTCTGAAAAACACTTGACAGCAGTGAGATACACCGGTAATTTCTGCAATCCAGAATGTCCCCTTTCTTGTGAATTGGGCAGATGGTGGTCTTGTACCAGTCTGCAGGAATTCCCTCACTCATCCACACATCCATAATAGTGTTGTGAAGATCTTTCACTGCCTCTGGCCCTCCATACCTAAACAATTCTGATGGTGGCCCATCAGCTCCTGATGCCTTGTTGTTTTTTAATCATTCCATGGCTTCCTGAACCTCCTCAATGTCTGGCGATTCCAGGTCTTCTTCTGGTATTGTAACATCCTGTATGGACTGATCCTCAATTCCGTCGTTCAGTATGCTCACAAAATGATTCCGCCATTTGTGGTTTTGTAAGCAAATAAATACAGTTTGGATGGTTTTCTATTAGCGTTCACTTCCCGATAGAACCTGCGAACCTCATTGTTCCTTCTTAGAACCTCCAGATTCAGCAGCTGGTCCGCTTCCCCTTCCTTTCCTCATCTTTCTCCGATATTCTCAACCACTGGATATAAATTTTATTTTTGTTCTATTACAGTTCGATAGATTTTAAATAGATTGAAATGTGGAAAAAAAAGTTCGTTTTTTTTAAATTATTTTTTTACAATTGATCGAACCTCAATAAAACAAATCTATTCGAAGTAAAATTGATTGTTGAAACAAAATCCTTATCCTTCATTTATTTCATAGAAATATGAAAAAAAGAAATGAATAAATACTGCGGAATTGCCGATACAGTACTACTTAGAAGACATATTGGATGACACACACAAAAAAAAAAAAGAAGAAGATTTTATTTAAAAAAAACTGACAAGAATATTAGTAGAAATTTTTGCAAATCGTATAAGGGTTGACTATTATTTTGTGAATAGTTAATGTAAAAATCTCGTACTTTCTCATAAGAATAAATTGGTAACCTGTACATAATCAATCCTTTCTACTGTTAACGATATCAACGTCAATAAACAAAAACTTTTTTTCTTTTAAGTCCCATGACTATAACTTACTTTTTGGGGTAATAATTATTAATTGGATAGAATTCTTAATTATTAGCATAATTTAAAAAATAAATACATAAATAACATTAAAACTGATTTATTTCAATAAGGTCTAGTTGTCACATTTATTGCTTTGGTTTTTTATATCTTAAGTTATGAATATGAAATACAAAAAAAACATGTATTCGTCTGTTTTGAATACTTTGACTTTTTCCACTGAATGATACATTTATTTATTTGTGTCATTTCGTAACCTTAACAACGCCTGTAACAGCTTCAAATCGAATATTTTTCTGCTCTTAGGTAAGTCACCGATTCGCAAACATTGTTTATTATTCAAGTCATAGAGCCAAAAATCGTTAATGTTGTCCTGATATTATTTGAAGTTGCGAGCTGGAACTGTGGAAACAAACCGATTCCTTCTACTCTACCAAAAAATAATTCTCTAAAGCAAATAATTGATATTGTATAACAAGAGTTATGAGATACAAGGGGTTAAATCAGTACGATTCAAGGAACATATTATTTTCATATTTTCCATTGATCGGTCAAAGTAAGTAGTAAGTAGATTTTGTTGACAATTTGTATAGTACTTGTACTTTTTGTATTTAATGATATTTCACTAATTTTGTTAATCGATTTTAAGATCTATACTTGGAGTTAATTGCATTTAATCACTTCTGATCAATTATTATTTTCAATAAATTATAATTTTTATGTGAGGTTGGCAATTATGTTTTTTGATTATTAAAGTATAATTATTGTACACAATAGTAGCGCAGTGAGACGTAATTTTATACATAATTGCTAATCTGTACAATTCAGCCGATAAAATCTGATTTTATTTAAACTTTTGTGAAACAGTGAGTACCAAAGGGATTCATAGCAGCGCAATTTACATATAATTCATTGATCCTAAGGTTATTACCTAAAGCTAATCTAAAAGTTTTAATATCTAACCATTAACTCAAATCCTTAAAGGTAGGTGATAATAATGCAAATTCCTAAACGCATTGACCGGAGATTCAAAATGAAAACTTCTTTCTCTTCATCATACCCCATTCTGTCTCTGAGCAGTGTGAGGGGCCAACTCATCCAAAACCCTCGATGTATCGAAAAAGCCGTACATCTTAAAAAAAAAAAAAATAATAAGCTGTTTCATTCCTTTCTTGTCGAATACCTCCTTGACTGCAACTTACGATTGTCCTCTGGACCATCCTCAAGGTTTTCTTTCCTCTTCTCTCATTCGATTTAATCCGTTGTTGTGCTGTGTTATTACAGAACTTATCTCTTATTTTTCCCTTTATCCTTTTACACATCTCATTTACACTTTATGAAAGTACAAATATATATATATATATATATATATATATATATATATATATATATATATATATATATTAAAAGTTATATACTATTCTCTAAAATTCGATTTCTTGTTTCGGAATAAAACTATCACACAATCAAAAGAATTGAAGTTGGAATTTAATATTTGCAGGACTAGCGAAATACACTACTTATTCACAAACTGAGCCGATATTCCTTTCATTATAAACTATTTCTCATGCATCTCATGACTCAATGTTGATACTTAAGGATTCTTCCTGATAGAAATAGCGTTGATAATTGGTAGTAAATAGTGGCTTACTTTTAATTAGTTCGTTATTGTTTACATTTTCTTTTGGACTGATTTTATTTTTTTAAGTTTGTTTAGTTTAATATTGTTTGATTCTCTCTCTTTAACATACATGAACTCTGGCAAGAACTTGCCTTTCTGCACCACTCTGCGAATAGGAAATGGTCAGCTGATCTACAGTTCACATTTTCATTAAAACAAAAATAAATATAATTAATCCAATATTTTTCGGTTGAAAATAAAGTTTCACTTAACTTTAAAGAAAATATTACATCGAATTGACAGAAAATAAGACGTTTCTAAAGAGCAGGGCCTTAACTAGGATTTTGTTCAGGAGTGGCAAGCTCAATTTTACCGTCCCTTTTTTCATCCCCCTACTTCCTTGCCTTTTATATACAATAGTTCTATAATAGCACTTTAGCTAATATATTTCAAAACAAATATCATCATATTATAACATAAGCTCACTTTGTCGACTGAATTAAAGTTTAAAACAATCAAAAAGTAGAAACAAATATTTTTCTTTAACCTAAAAAATATAATTTGTTCGACATTTGTAATCGCTTGAATTCTACGACCCGGAACAACTGTCCAGTTTTCTCCTTCCTTGTGACCAACTGTAATCGATTCTAAACTAATCTATAAACAGATTCAGGATCATGAAGACCAGGATGATAAAAATGTAAACAGCAACGAAGTAGTGGAAAGTCATTCTCATATGTATCAAGTTTCAATGCTTGAATTTCTGTAAGGAAGTACCGGCCTGACTGACGATGACTGCGCCACATTACAAGAGTTTTTGCTGGGTTGCAAAATATATATAATCACATATCATCCGAAGGAAGAAAAATGTTACTCACTTTGAAAAATGACTTGGATAGTTTGTATAGAAAAAAAAATTCACCGTGTTCCCGCTGAATAACAATAAGGCAGCGATAAATAAATTTGAGAAGAACGAAATTTATATTCTGATAAAAAAAAAGAAAGAAAATAATACGAATGCTACAATGAAGAAAGAAAAGAAAAATATTATAACTCCATCTAATAAATACATACTATTATAAAGTGTTAAGCATATCATTTAGTGGGATAAATAAATAAATTTTAATGTTATATATATGTCAAATAAATAACCTTCAATTATAAAAGTATAATTGTGTTTATGCTTGTGCATTTGTCTGGAAATATACAAAAAAAAAAAAAAAAAACACGGAATAAATATTTAGTTCAAAAACAATGAAAAATAACTAATGTTTACTATAAAAATTTATAAGTGATGTCGGATATAGTTTTAAAGACAATACTAATCAATTGGTATCAATTGAAAATATTAAAACAAGAAGGTATACTTGAATTGTGCGAAGATATAGATAAAAATGACAATAAAAAATATAGTTAATTTTTTTAGATAAGTGTAAATATCTCAGTATAAGAAATGCGATAGTCTTAGTGTCAGTGGCGTAAAGAATTGGATTGCCACGCAGTCAGTGTAATTCACATTCAGTTCCTATTTTTGCATTGTTCATTTTCTCATAACAATGCAAAAGAATGTAGTAAATCTTATAATTATTTTATTTGATTGATTTATTTTTATAATAATATTTACAATGCTGATTTGCGCGGCGTTCACTCAGAAAATATGATTGAAGTAATAACATCGTGAGGTTTGAAATGGGTTTGTAAATAGAGTATAGAGTTGCATGAAGGCTTCTACTAAAAGATCAACCCTGAAACAAAATGTGATTTCCGAAGTATTAAGCAGGATTCATTTCCTCAATGTAAATTAAGTTATCAAAGATTTATTTATTAACAAGCTGTTTATCTTATGAAAACGTTTAAGGAATGAAAACAAAAATATTGTGGTCAAGTGAGCTATTTTCGTGAATTGGCTTGAATAGAATATATATATATAATTAAAAATATAATATAATTAATATACTAACATATATAATCAGTCCCCGCCCACCCGTTCCCCAAATACTCGTGGCACAAATGTAAAAATCCATTGAAAACTATAAATCGAAATTTTTTACAGCAAAAAAATATTATTATCGAGTCAACATTTTCAACAGGTAGTTAAAAAATTTATAGACAGAAGATTTCTATAATAGATAAATACAACATAGATTTTTAAAGTAATATTCAGAGAAATTTTATTAAAACCATAGGAGTTTGGGGTAGGAGAATGAGGGGGAAGATCGTCCTTCCCCCCTAATAATAATAGAGAGGGGGGCGAGAATATCGTTTCCTCCTCCCCCTCAACATTTCGAACAAAAAAAAAAAGGTAAAAATCAATAACAATTAATCTGCTCGAATGAATAAAGTATAAAAACTAAGATCAATTAAGAAAATAGGAAATGTCGAATACATAACTAAGCTAAGACCTACATAACTAAGAAGTAGGTACGCAAGTATTTTACCATACACTATGTTCCTATTAATTAAATTTTAGTTTACATTCAGAGATAGTTATATGTAGCAACATATCCAATCATTTCATTATTAACTCATATCTGCCCTTCCATTTTTACTTGATGATTAAATAACATTTCCCGCGTCAAATTTGAAGCATCTGAGAATTGAGAGTTAATCTTATTGACTCAAACCTTTAAATAAAAAAAATGTGTGTAATATAATCAAACTTTTTGTTTACATATTTCCAAATATATCCGTTAATAAAAAAAAAAAAAACTAATATATAAACATATATATATAAATTTGTTTTTATATATAGAATTATAGTGTTCGTTTTATAATAACTATATTGATTATGTTATCACTCATAATTATTATACATAATGTAAACTCCCGAGAATATTTTTTGCGAGGTTCCATCGCCCTCCAACAAGAATGAAAAGTCTACTGGGTAGAACTATTGAAAGTGTTAGAAAATTATGTTAAAACTACATATAATCAATTATTTATATGTATAAAATATAATTATTGTAAAACGAACACTATCATTCTATATATAAAAATAAATTTATACATATATTTATATGTTAGTTTTTTTTTATTAACGCATATATTTGAAAATATGATAACAAAAAGTTTGATTATATTACACAATTTTTTTTATTTAAAGGTTTGAGGCAACAAGACTAGCTCTCCATTCTCAGATGCTTCAAATTTGACTCGGGAAATGTTATTTAATCTTCAAGTAAAAAATTTAAATTCAGATCGCGATAATATAAGGACTAATATCCTGTAATATAAGGACCCTAAGCTATCCTGAAAAAATAAGCCGAATATCGGAAAATTTCTTTGAAACAAACATTTGAATATCTATCATAATATAATTACATTTGAATATATATATATATATATATATATATATATATATTTATGGGACATGTCACATTTAAGAGGACATGTAAATATTATCTATTACTACTTTTTTTGTTAACAAAACCGGTTTGGGATAAATATACAATTATTAAAAAATCAAGATAAAACAAATGGTATTATCTTCCTTCTCTTATACCCTTACTATTTCGATACTTGAGCACTAATTTATATTATTTCAGATTTGGTCCAGTAAAGGATAGGTTTAATATAAAGTGAGTACTGTTTTATAAACGATATTTAATGAAGATTTATTTTATTTTACTTATTTTTCTAATGTATTTACTTTTTTCTCTATTATTTTATTTTTTTTATTTATAATTATTTTCTATTTTTGTATGTACTGTATGAATGAATGCTTTTATCCTAAATACTTATTGCCCTGCAAGTGACCGATTGTATAATCAATCGATTTATTGGCAGATTGATAAATAAAAATAATAAAAAATAATTGTAAAATATACACTACGAATACGAAATTCGGACTCGTTGATAATTTTATTTAGCTCAGTTGAAATATCGAAAAGCAATTTTTTGTTCACTGTTAGAAATCTGAGGAGGATAGATAGTGCATTAAAATAGACAAACTGCTTTGATAACTTACGTGCCGCGACGAAGACCGGAGCGAGGAGTAGCAGAAGCATGGTGGCCAGAGGGGTATCGCCAACCAACTGACTACAACAACACTTTCACCTAGAGCCCTTAACCTTCCAACCCCCTCCAGCTTATGTAAATAGATTACTGGGTCCTCCGCTGCGGGGGTGTTCGGCCTTCCTCGCTTCCTAGGAAACGTCTTCGCCGTTATCATTCATGCCGGGTAGTCTCCGAGCAGCTCATTAAGCCAGCAATCGGGGCTTGCGAATGTCTTCGTTATCGTTAAACCAATGCCTTCGACGTGGCTAATCGCTATAAGGCGTTAAGTAAAGTATTTGGTGAGATGAACAAATTAATTTTAATGACACATATTTGTTAAATACATAACCATAAATTATAAATATGTACTTGTGTTTGTGGATGGGAATTTGTCTGTAAATGTTCAGAAAAAAAAAAATGACGGAATAAAAATTTAGTTCAAAAACACTGAGAAGTAACTACTATTTTTCTAAAATGATTTATTATTTCTTATTTTCATGTTTACAAAACATTTAAAATTGATGCCAAATGTACCCTTAAATAATTTTTTGTTGTTGTAATATATAGAATATATATAAGAAATAAAATGTATTAAATTTATTGGTAAAAAAATACAGTTTTACATTCAAATAAAATATCGAATAATTTTAGAGCACGTCACTGATTTGCCCGGATCCAGATTCTAATCCGTTCATGATAAACTTCAAACCTATCCAGATCGACTTGTTTCCAGCTTTGCTTCCTTATCAGTTCCTGATAAGTCCAAGGCGTCTGAAAAGATGATGGCCTCGAGATCTTATTTAGAACTGTTGAGGGAGTGATACCATTGGGTACTATCTCAACAAGTCTGAAATTAAATTTCGAAAGCCTAAATTTTTATGTTTTTCTATAATATACATTATTTTTTTTTTAAACTTCTTCATTGAGATATATTACAATCTGTCACATTCAAGGACAATAGTAATAGTGATATAGAGTAGCTCATTCATACTATGCACATTAAAGAAAAATAATAAACAGCAATATAATAATATTAAAGTAAATTTATATAAACTAAAAGATACTAAAAAGGTAAAAGATTATATATATATATATATATATATATATATATATATATATATAAAATAAACCAGAATATGTTCATTTCTGTTATGGTTATATTTTGGTGGTTTTTTTTCTCCTCTTATAATATCCTATTATGGGTTTAACGAGTGTTAAAAAGATTGAAAAAAAAAGTTTAAAATTGTTTTGTAAATTTATTTCTGCATGCAAGGTATTTTTAAGTGTGAGAGTATTTTGGTACAATAGAGACAAATGTGGACGATTCTTAAACCTGTGCTTTGAAATACTTGTAACTTTTTCAAGTTGGTTGAATTAGTGCACTTCCATATGGGAAAGACGTATGTTAATATTGGCCTAACGATTGATTTATACAGAATTAATCGTTCACTATTTGCACAATGTTGTAATGTCCGAACAAGGTTTAGTACGAATTTCTGTTACAATGATAGGGAGACTTTCAGGCTATAAACATAAACAAAAATTTTTTTTAAATTCTGGATCACTTACTGCCTTAGATTATACTCAAACCAATAACAATATAGTTTAAGTTGAAATACAAAACAATTAGAAAATAAAGTTTTGTTTTTCACCATGACTTATAAGGAATAAGTAACTTTTTTTTTCAATTGAAAACTAATTTGAGGAAGTAAGTCAACAAATAGTCCCGGATTTAAATAGTAAGAGTAGCAAAACTTTACGAAGAACTTCTTAGATGTTTATCTTTTTCAAGAAATGATTTTGAGAACATATTGTACACAATGCGTTTTCGACTTACTTATATGGTTAATTCCAATTTTTCTCCTCATCTCGATTTGAAAGATTTTATTTTTAGACCGCAGTTCCAAATTGATTTTTGTTCCCAATATCTTTCTAGCACGAATAACTAGGTATTTAAGTCCTTTTAAAAACGAAAGTAAAGACGAAAAAATAATTATGGAGTGTTTGAAGTCAGTTTTACAAAGTTAATTATTCTCGCTGCTTAATACAATTTTTTTTTCCCAAGTATAAAACAGAACCTAGTTTAAAAAGAACGTAGACGTCTAAAGGTTGAAATGGATCGTTTATTTCGACGGGACTAATAAATACAATTTGAAAGAGCCAATAGAATGAGATGGTAGAATCCTAATGACATCGGCTCAAAGCCTATGAGGTAAGTCGATGAGGCCAAAAGGTGTATTCAGCGGAGCTAAACCCTTTGCCGTTGCGGCGGTTGTACGGAATGAAATCCGGAAACCTTTTGAAATAAATTTAATTTTTATTAAAGTCTATTTTTACTTCTACAAAGGAAGTATTTTTAAAATAACATTTTATATTCTCTCTAGATCTAAATCAAATTTATTGTCTGAAGCATTTTTAACCTGAAAGGTATATTTGACATTTCATTTAGTCGTATTATAGTTACGAAATGTCTTAGTTACTCTAAAAAACGTCTTCATAATACTGATTGATGGTTCAAACTATCTGTTGAATGAATAATGAAGCTAGATCGTTTCCATATTTCGATTTAATTAAAGGTTTAGGGATATTGATTTGTTGTTCACAAAAGATTGAAAACTATTCGTGACTTCCTTAGGTTCATGGCAACTCCTTAGTAATATTAATATATTATCTCAAGGTATTAGTGTCCTTATATAAAATATCTCAATTTGCATAACGAATTCCAGTTGGATGACAATAAGAATTCAGAATATCCTCCAACGGAATAGCTTTTAAAACGTACCATTAAGATATAAAATATCTTAATTTGCATAACGAATTCCAGTTGGATGACCATAAGAATTCAGAATATCCTCCAACGAAATAGCTTTTAAAACGTACCATTAAGACAGACATGTCCAGTTAAGGACGGTAAAAGTACCTCAGAGATATAAATTTTAGCCAAAATACACGTATTTTAATTTAGGCTATTTTAAAATTATGTTTCAGAAAGAACCCAGAAAACAATGTTAGAAACCATAAAGAAGTTTCAGTGTCGAATATCTAATAATTTTTTTTGAGTCAGGAGATGGTCCAGATTGGCGGTCACAAAAAGATTAAAAGAGTGAAAAAAGCTATTTTATATCCAGCCAAGGTTTCGACCTGACTTTGCAGGTCTTTTTCAGGGGTATATATACAGCATGGAGTATCGGTTGAAACTGGGAAAACGTGTTTCTAATAATTTTTAAATTATTCTTCAATCTTTCCTTCAGCCAACTGACATGCCCATGAATAGGAAAAGGTTAAGATGACGTTGGATGAGAGATCTTTTTCCTTAGAAAACTCAAAGAACTGAATCAACCCTGGAAAGGTACTGGTGGCTACTATCCCTCCTCAGGCCTCATATATCATTTTCATTGTTTCTGTCAGATCTTCTGCTGATTGTCAACAGTTCAAGTGTAGATGAATATTTCAAGCTGAAAAAAATAAGCTTTTTTTTTAAATGAGTTTATTACTAAGCACATAAGCTAGTTAAGTTTTCAAACTCTGCCTGTTCCCTTCGCATGATTTGGTTTGAATATGTGATAATTTGTACTCGCGCTGCCCTGGAGTGTGAATTGAAGATGTAAGCAGAGGAAGGCTGCTGAAGACGACGGTTGATAAACAGGGAAGATACAGGAGCCACGTGCTGGGCCGCGGCGGCATTGGGACGTGACGGCAGCTCTCCCGTGTCTTCACCTGCATAGGAACTACACTTCTTCGTCACCAGGAAGCGCCGGATGTACCCACCAGGGTCCTGTTCTTGACCAGCTATTCGTCCCTCATCATCATCCGTCATTATTGGATCTGCGGCACGAACGGCAGATTTGGCAGAAATCGAGCTGAATGATATTGAGCTAATTACACATATTGAGAAATGAGGCCGTGCGTGTAATAGCCGGAACTTCTTCATTACCGGAAATCCGTGAAAATACGGATGGGGCTGAAAAACGTAAAGGTTGTTGACAGCAGGAGTGATTTTCTCACTGAGAGACAGAATGACACGTCGTGATATTAATTCTGCGTATAACCTAAATTCTGGAGCAACCAAATTTTCAAAGTAAAATGTAAACGGTAGAAGAATCATAGAAAGAAGGACGGAGAGAAAAGTAAATATTATTCTGAGACATCTAGTTCCCATGAATAAGATAATCAAAATAATTATAATGAACAATTTAATGACATTGGTCTGCCATAAGAAAATGATCAAGAATTAATTAGATTACATTGTTATCGAGCCTTCAAAAATGAAAGAAATGCACAAGTTGACATTTGAATTATAAGGTATATGAGTGTGTTCACTTATAAACAATAGATAATATATAGGTATTAGTAAGATAACAGTAAAATGAGGCTGATATTATTCTTGCATATATAAGGAAGATTAATTGCTGATATGGAAAAATAAATGAGGTTAAGAATGAGGATTTAGGTATGGAAGTAGTTAGGGAATTCCAAAACAATGTAGCACGTATGAGAAAGGATTTTTTAAAGTAAACAATTGTATGAGAAGGAATAATCAGGTTTGTGGCCTGGGATCTCGTGTTGAACGAATGAACATGGGAGTAAGGAGTAAACAGATCCAGTAGATAAAAGAGTTGTTTGATTGTAAAGGTTTGGAAAAGGAAAACACTTGGGAATACTGGATAGAGCCCCTTCAACTCGGCATACCAACTGAAGACGTGGGAGCACCTGGGGACTCCAAAGATGGATCCAATGAAACAATACTTCAGTCTCTCCAATCTGATCTCAAGCCCACCAGACAGTCCACCGTATACAAGGCAGCCTTTATCAATGTGAGGAAAGATGAATGAGCAAACTAGAAGCTGTCGTGTTTATAGGGACATCAAATCGCGGAATCTCTGGAACTGTTTTAGGGCTATACATTTGCACAATACCAACTTGCCAAGAATATACAAAAAACATATTTAAACATTCAAAACTTAAGTTGAACTAAAGGTAAGGGGAAAGAATTGACATTCGTTTTTCGGAAAATTTTAATATTTTTCAATTATTAAAAAACAAAACAATATTAATGAAAGTTTATGGTTAGGAAATATGGTTTTTATTTAATCATATTTTATTGACTCATATATGAATATTTTTACATTAAATAAACGCCTTTGGAGAACAAAAAATTGACAAAAATTATAATTGTCTAAATTTTGCGGATTTAGCATTAACATCGAAAT